CAGCCAAACCTAGATGGTTTTGGATGGTGTCCATACAGCAATGTTTTCACTTGTGCATCTGGGCATGATCCCTCTCACCTATCTTAGATGTGTAAAAATTTGATGCTGAAGTCCAGGCTGGTAAACCTAGGCTCCCTTTCCAGGAAAAAATAAGGCATAGGCATGTCCAGAGGGCAATTCTTCTGGTCTATCCTTAGACAAGATTAATTGCTCTCTGGATGTATCTAGCTCTCTAAGGGGAGTCTAAGATGAGCTTTCTTGCAGCTATAAGAAGAGCTTGTTCTCTAAGATCGGGACTGACACCCACCACTACCATTCATAGGTCACCTGACAGCGTTAAAACACTAATGACTTTTTGGTCCCTGATGGTCCAAATCAAAGCCGAGCCTGCTGACCTAGGGGTGAAAACCTCCATACACCAATTACTTTCTTCTGACCCATCCAAGTGTGTTCCCCACAGTCATGATCTCTGACATCTGTCAAGCAACAAAGAAGTATCAATACCCAAAGCACTGCTTTCTCTATCCCCTGGTAAAACTGCTGCTTTTTCTGAAAGTGCAGCCACAGACCATTTTCCTTTAACAAGATACTTTTGCAGTCCAGTCACATTATTTCCACGATCTTTTACTTGCAACTCCAATCGTGCATTCTACAGATGATTCATAAGGAAAAAAAACTGCATATTTATTCAGCCAGCTAGTGGCTGGAGGGCAGGGGTTTTAGGCAAGCAGGGAATTTTGTGTGGAAATCAATTCTTTGTGGAAGTCAGTATATTACGAATGTCCATGCAACCAAAATTCCAGAGAGAAATTACCTCCCCAAGCATGCCAAATACCTGGAGGTACGCATTGCAAGTCAGTAAAACAAAGTGGTTGACGTTTTAAGTGTCTCTTAACCGTACAACACTGTTAACGTAAATATTTCATGAATTTCTTTTAGATAGCTGGGGCTCAAACTGTTGACCTTAAAGATGACATTAAAGCTCTGGAGAGTGTGCCCAGCACCGGTCCCCCAGTTTCAGAACCTGGCAGGATGCAAGGAGTACCCCCGATGGGCTCGCTTTAACGTGCGCTCACCTTGCAGAAGGTTTTAGAAAAGATCTCGGTAGGGATGAAATGGTGAGAAACAATCAATGCCAAACAGATGCAGCCTCATCTCTTTGGTACTGTGGAGAATGGCTGGATTAGGTGATACTGGGAAACAAATTAATTTATCAACCACGCGACCATCGGTCACTCCTCTGACATGGAAACACAGGCTGATCTCCACCCATTCATTCATTTAAGCTGTTTCCCAGTCCTTAACACCATGGCAAGAAAGGAAAGGGAGGATGCTTGTTGAATTTCTTAAACCCAGTCTGTACATTGTTAAACATGAGCACTGCGTGCTGGCTCTGGGATTTAAGGACACTGAATGTTTACGAATAGGAAGTTACTACAAAAGGTCCAAGACCCACTGGGCCCAAGAGAACCAAGAGAAGATAAAAAACTACTTTTTTTTTTTCCCCTGCACAGAAAAAATAAAACCAGGGACACAGGACATGCACTTCAGTGACAAGACAGCCAATATCAAAGAGGGGCATCTTCAGTTCCTCATGTTGGTAGCATTTAAATTGTCTTATGACTCTAAAAAGTGACAACCAGGGCTTCCATACTTCATTAAAAAAACTAAACTAACCTTGTAATAATCATTTTGCACTTATACTCTATGAGTACAAAATTTTATCTAACAGCCTGATTCACAAATGCACTTAAGAGCTTAAGTCAAATGGAAGCCAGTGGGAATCGGTTCTCCAAATGTCTTTGTAGGCTCAGGTTTGAGTGACTGCTGTGCCCCAGTTTCAACACCGTTTAGGAGACCACTGATTTTCAAGGAAATTTAAGCTCTTCAGTCACCGATGTAAATTTAGGCTCCCAAGTAAATTGAGTAGTTATGAAAATATTATTGCAGGACTCGCTGTGGAAAGCTTAACCCGTGTAACACAGTATGGACCTAGAGCTCTCTGTCTATCTTAGCTGTAATCCTTGCCTTAAAGATTGCAGCCTGTAAGTTTAAAACCAGTAATTGAAAGATGGCAATCTGAAAACAAAAAACAAACAAACACAAAACCCAAAACCCACCTAACATTAAAATCTAGAGGGGGAAATTTCTGTTCCATGTCATGGCCTGGAAACCAGGCAGTGGGAAGAAGAGTCTTTCCCATTACACTCTTCAAACCTCCCTATTAAATTAAGATTATAAACACCTAAAAAGCAATATCCAGTTTTGGAGCCATTTGATCAAATAAAAGATGCTGAAACTCTGTGATACCTGATGCTGGTGCTGGATCAACATCCCTTGCATTTAGTGATTATTACCATACTAAGAGAAAGTCCACAGGACACAGGTGTTTTGCTTGGAAAAAGTGTGACTTTTTCTCTTAAGATCCATGTCCTTTCATGTCTTCTGCTGAACACTGCTTGGTACTGTAGAACAGTAAGCGCAGTTAATAATAATTTTAAGCTGGGCAACTTCTTCATATTTTCCTTTTGCTGCTGCAACGCCTCAAATAGCCCACTCCGAGAGATTGCTGACGAGGTTTATCAGCAACCCTTCAAGGGCCATCAGCTATTCTGCCCTGAGTAACACATCTTTGGAGAGCAGACTTAACCCTGATGTTTGGGTACACAGCCACAGACGCAGCTTTGGGTGTATCTACAAAGACATGTGAACCGAGAGAGCTAAACTAATGTGCTGAAAACCCACCACAGTCAGTTCACATGTACCCGTAGAGATAATTGCAGCAAACCTTTTCGAAAGCTGAGCCACTGGCGATCAAGTAGACAGCTCCAGGGTAAGTCAGTGCATGATAGTACAAAACTCTGTGTTTAGTGGAGCTGAAATTCATGTGATTCTGCCTAGTTGTTGTATTTTTTGACCATATTTGATAGTCTTTAAAATGATAAATATGCCCTTGAGGGAATTGCAGAAAAGTCCTCTCCTTCTTCCTAAGCGCTATTGTATTCATACTAACATAGGAAATGTGTTGGTCTCTTTTTCACCTTCAAATTTAGGTGCAATTCTTTCCTCTTGGAACAGAAGCCCAGGGGGCGATTAGGTTTTCAAATACACTTAATAATTAGTTTGGTTTCTGTGGGTTAGCAATAGAACAGGTCAGTTGTTTTTTTTTTATGAAAATGTGCATTTGTCTCACAACTGAAACTGTGGTAAGAAAGGTCAGTTTCAATGAAATTCCAGACTTAAAATAGTTGGGAAGGAAAAATGGTTTGAAATAACTTAATTGCGCAAAATCATAATTTTTTTCCATTAAACACTTAAAAATTACTCTTTATTCTGAAATGTAAGTGACTTGAATAACAAAAAAATATATGAATTAAAAGAAAGCATCAGAGAATTAGTGAATAAAAAGATTTTTACTGAGCTTAACTTTTTGATGTGAGGGTTGTTAGTCTGTTAGCTTTTTAAGAGCTTGATGTTTTATCACTATTTAGAATAGAGAAGCTTGGTTTCTTCTAAAATCAATGTCATTTTCATAGGACAGGGAATGTATTCTCCTTCTCACCCTGGAATGCAAATCTTGGACTGTACATAAGTTGTCATTTTAAATCCAGACAGGGGTGCATTTGATATTGCTGAATTTTAGTGTGTTTGTCATCAGTCCATTAAAATTGAGATTATTTTTTTTATAATAACAGAAGTAGGAAAAAATTCGAGCGAATCTGAGCCTAAAAATTTTTCCAGTTTTTATTAATCCATGAGTATTAAGAAATAAAATTTTTAAAACTTTTAAAACATTTTAAAGTATCCCAGGATGAAAGATCTCACTGCAATATTTAATTCCACTCAAGTGCAGTAAAATTTTCAGTAACAATAAATTTGCCCATGAATGTAATTTATTTTGTAATATGTGCTTGTTTTAATATCCCATCACAAGCACAGTTTCTGACAGCTCAGCCAGGAAGCAAATGTTGTGTATATGATCTCCCAGATAAATGAAGCTCCGTACCTTTCTGATATCTTTGATTAGAGAGGAAATGTTACGTTTTATACCTGAACTTCTTACCTCGATGTGGTTGGCAGGAGCCCTGATGTAGATCCCTGCTGGTGACAGTGTCTCAATGTTGGATAAACCGTCTGTTCCAGAAAGGCCAATCACTATGTTGTTACTGACTCTGTTCCCCTCTTCCAGTCTCTCTCCTTTCAAAAAAAAAAAAAAGGAAAGAAAAGAAAAAAAAAGATTAAAAAAAGAAAAAAAAAAAAGAAACAGAAATGTACATATAACTGGAAACCCTCTATTATGCAAGTTACAGAACGCGCTGGGTTTTGCCCTGCCTGCTTTGCTCTCATGGCCCACCTGGGAATCAGCTTTCCCTGCTTACTGTCCCTGGGTAAATCACTGTTTGAAAAGCACTTAGAAACCTGTGTTTAACACGAGACGGCTATGAGACGGTCAAAGACTGCCATGGCTGCTCAACACGGTGGTGCATAGCACGGAAAGGGGAAGGCTGTGTGCTTCAGAAATGTCAGGAGACCACAAGCAAGATCTGATCAACATTGTAAATATGATAAAAAAAGTCTCTGCCACAAAGAGCTTACACTCTAATGGGATAAAAACAATCAGGGAAAGGAATACTACAATACATATTCTACAGAGAGTCAATAGAGACCATGGCTCTGCAATTCAATGTGCACAAGACCCTGTACCAGGTGTTATATATGAATAGAACACCAGCCATACCATACCCTAGGTTTATGGAGAAAATGAATAAAGAGAATATTTTAAAGTGCATTTACAGTTGGAAAAAAAGAGATTCAGAGTGGGGAAGTGGCTCACCTATGCACACACAGGCATGCTTCTGGCAGTACTAGAATTCAAAGTCCTATCTATCTCCTGTGTCTCCATCCACTGCCCTACTTACATGTAAGAAAATTCCTAAATAGATTAAAAACAACTGGTGCAACCGTGCACAAAAGTGGGGGGGGTTGCCCCCCTAAGCAATGAAGTATGAGAAGAAAAAGGAAAAATCAATCAAAAAATTGATCACACAACTCAGAGTCATGGGGTGCCCCAGATCCAGTAACACTATTGAAGTAGGAAGTAAAAAAAAGAAATATCTTTTTAAACCACACCATAAAGCAATGTGCCACCCAACGGCAAATATTGGACAGTCCCACACAAGTAAAGTCCAAATAAGGACACATCAGCATATGTCCCTCCACTCTGGTGTTTTAGAAGCAGAATATAAAGTGGATCATCTCTGTTTGGTCCACATCAGGAGCAAATTAAATCTAGTTTTGTTTATCGAACATAAATTATTATCTTCAACTATACCTGCTCTCGTTTTATTCCAAATACAGATCCCTCCCCTAGTCATCACTACCCCAAATGTAAGCCACTTGCCAGGAAAACCTATGTTCTTCGGTTTTGGGGATGGCAGTAATTATTTTTAATCTTCTTCTCAGTCTTTTGAGCCTTTCTCCATTTTTGGAACAAGATCCATTTAGGAAATATTTCCTTTCCAGGCTGTATTTGCTACAATGCCACTACCAGAGCATGAGCAGGATCCTAAAGCAGTCCTTTTGACAGCCATATAGGTTTTCGAGGTGGTATAAAAGGTCTTGGTGTGTCAATTAATTTTAAGCCCAGAGTGCATTTTTATGACTGCCTTGCAAACCCCCTGAAAATAAGGGGTTTAGATGAAATCACTGAGGGAGTCCAATTCTGGAGCTGCAAATAGCCAGCTATAATAAATATTCCTTCACAGGCAACAAAATGATATATAAATTCATCCATCAGACCCTCTGGAGCTGCTGACAGTGAAGCTGTTAAAGACACCTTGGGGATAAGGTGTATTCAGGCTGAGACTTCAGCGGAAATGTTCAGCTCAGCCCAGAGTCCTTTAACTCAGACACATGTCCTAGCACGAGTGAGCCAAGGCGTGCCGGCAGGATGGAGATCTTGTTCTGCTTCCCCACAGGCACAAGGGCTCTGTGCATCACCTTGGGCAAGTCGTTGCATCTCTCTGAGCCAGCTCTCTTTGTCTGCAAGATGTATACAATCGTTCTCCTTTTAGAGCTCTCCCCTGTTTAAATCGTAATCTATCACTTCTCATTATGGTTTTATACAGGACCTAGCACAGGGACTCGCTGTGTGTGTGGAACTGCAGGATCAGGACTGATGGCTTTTTTGCCCCCCTCTGTTTATCTTAAAATCGGTCATTTTTATCCCATCTCTGATGGAAAAAAAAAATCAAGCTATATCTTTAGGTATTCAGGCGACATGAGATCCCAGCAGAAGATGCTGCAAGTCAGTCTCCTGATGGTTACTTAGGAGAAATACTTTGTTGTTTAACATTTTTGTGGCTCCAAGCTCCAATTTATTTAAGTGCTAAATTCTCTGCTTAACTTTTAACATATGCTTTCACTCCATTATCTTCGATGTCAAATGACTGAAGTTAAAGGTAAGTATGCTCTTAAATGCCTCGCTGAACTGGGGTCTTAAATATTGCATAATGGTGCTCTTCCACAGACAGATAAATCAATTCCCTAAAAAAATCTTCTTCCATTTGTACACTGAAAAAAAAAAAAGGGATCCAGATCAAGTGAAGACTGACCTGATGAAACAGAGAGTGTATAGTCAAAAGGAAATAGCTGCTAGGAGTTGCATGTGGAACCTTGGGAGCTTTATTCCAGATTCACTGATACCAGAAAATGTCTCAGATGTGATTAAAGTTCTCAGGGTGCAGTTAAGGATCTGCCATTCCTTCCTCCAAAGGCATCTTCATGCAAATGATAATCAGCACATGTTACTGCTACATGTGGGACAGATATTTTTCTGCTTCACTTACCCAGTAGAAGCCCATGGCCTAAAATGTTATAGAAAACATTACTGTCCACAGTAAGGTTTGAGATCCCGGTCAGACGGAGTCCTTGGCCAAAGGAGTCCAAAATACAACAGCCACGTATGTAAGAGTCTGGAAAGAAATGAGTGCTGTGAGTAAAAAGCACACTGCATCTTGAAGGTTGGGAGAGTTTTATATTAGCTCCTCATCCTTTGATGCTGTACAATTAATCCCTTTGGCTCCCGTGAGACTGCTCGGTTGCAGCTGCCCACCCTTACTCCCCTGGCAGATCTTTGCCAACAGGCGGGCATTGCTGCGACGGGCACAGTGGGGAAGAGGGGCCCTGAGCACAGAAATGGGTGAACGGAGGTGGCCCACTATTGTGAGGAAGGAGGATGAGATCCAGTGAAAGGATAGGGTAAGATCCCAAGAGTGAAGTATGTTATGAGCTCAGGCAGATGGATGACTGAAGTGGTATTGAAGGAGAGCAGGAACGTTTCAGAAGGGCAGTGAGGACAGGATGGTATTCTGTACACCTTGTCTAGCCAGGCACGGTGACCTGCCCACTGTACTCCAGGATCATGGCCAGTGCTGCTTTCTGCTACCAGGATTCCTAGATCCTCACTGTGATGAAGATGGCAAAGGAAAGGCATAAGTGCGGGTTAGCTGGAGGGGAAAGTCCCATCCAGTACCCTTAAAACATTATTTGAGCCCATTTAACTTGCCCCTACCACCGGCAGCATTCAGAACCCTCATAGCAACTTCCACAGAGATGAATTTTGCACTTATCAGTGACAAAGTCAAAAGAACTTAATATGTTCCTTAACCTTCAGGTGATAGAATTAAATTTTGGCCTATGCTACCACACAGCCCTGAGCCACCTCTGGGCTTCCTCACAGTATATTAGTGCACTCATTTCCAGAGCTAGAAGTAGCACGCCAACTCAGAGGTGTGGCAAAAAATGCAACATGATTTTAGGAAGAAGCTGTCCAGAGATGCAAAGGAACTAAAGCAGCTTAAAGCACTCCATCAAGTTTCACTTGGGCTGACTACAGGTGAGGTTTTCTTGCATTTACCAATCCAATTTGTCAACTGACCCCAGAGCTGAGCAGGCTTTTGAGGACATCTGCCCCAGCTTTGGGCAGAAAAAGGTGGACGTTTGAGATCATTCAGGCCCACCTCCAGTGAAGCCGTCTCACCTGCCATCCACACGTTGCCAGCAACAGTCAAGGCACTGCGGTGTTGCTGAAACGCTTGGCCCACGTGGCGGAACTGGACCCCCTCCATCCGGAGCCGATTCGCCTCTCCCTGGAAGGCCTCCACAACCACGATGGCTCCCAGGTCCCGAGAGCCCAGCTGCCTCTCGCTTCGCTTGTACAGACACCTGGAGCCACCTAGAATACAACCCGGTGGGAGCTGTCAGTGTTACTTGTCCATGCTGACCATGGGATGCGCAGAGTGCCCCAAGCAACATCATGAGACCCACCACATTGACTCAGTGAGACTCCATCTCCAGCAGCGATCTTAAACATGTGCCCAAAGACAAATAGCCACAGGCAAACAGATTTGATACCCCCTCTAAATACTCACATGGTTCCTTCCCTAAGAGTCTGGACATTTTTAGAGGAACATGTATTAAAACCAGCAGGAAGCTGTGGTAGTTTTATGCCTTGGAAAGTTCCTTGTGTTCAATTTTAAATAGTCCTATGGATGGGGAAGATGGATTTGACATTGATTTACCTTGGGTGAGGTGCTTGAAAATGGGATTGGGCACGGATGTACTGAACTGAAATGAAATGAGAACATTCTGAAATTTCTTTAAAACTCTTGCTCTCCCCACTGTCCCTGCAGATGGATGAGGAACTGTTACTACCCACAGGCTGAAGACAAGGAAAGTAAATTGTAGGGCTGGGGAAGGAATCGACATTCCTGAAAGGCATCCTTCCATGGGTCTATGCTTGGGATACTTTGGTACGAGGGGATTCAGGTTACGAATGTGCAACTTAGGCTTGTTCAGTGGAGGTGCAGAGGGGATTTCAAATTCCAGCACTGCCTACTTATGCTCAATAATGCTCATTTTTTCTTTTAAAGAAGGTAAATTAACCACAAAAAACACTGCCCACTCATCTTCTGGTGACTCCTCTGAGAAATCCTCCTATCCTTTAACTCAAATAAAAACCTCAAATGGTTAGCACATTTCAGAGACTATATTTATGAGTTCCACAGAAAATGGACCATAAATCTATGAGTAATATAAGCAGTCGGCTGCTGGATATCAAATGAAGTCTTGTGTCACAGTCTGAAAGCCCAAGGCATTTTATTTTTAAAGGATACCTTACAACTGGGTTGCCAGATAACCTAACTCTCCTCAAATTATAATCAGTGTCTGATTCTGCTTCCTCATCAGGTGGTGTAAATCAGGAAGCCACCTGTCAAACTTCATGGTGTTTCATAGAGGTAAAACTAAAGGAGAACTGAGATACCTAGCATTTTTTCACCACTGTTACTATATGCTACAAGAAACCATCACCTGTCTTTTTTCTTGGTATCCCTAAACACTAAAAACATCTCAATATTTTACACTAAAGAATACAAACAGCATTGGGCTGTTTTGTTTTTCCTTCTTCTTAAAGTGACTAAAGAGTAAACACAATTAAAAATTTAATATATTATGTACACTGAAACATGTTTTCAGAAGATACTTTCTTTTCTACACCCTTAGGCTCAGGGAAAACTAGAGGGTCTTTCCCGAGATGGCTTGAAACAACAATGTGAACATAATACATCTGAGATATTACAATGAAACACAGTTCAACTCCCAAGACTTCACACTTCAACGTCAAACAATGTTTGGAAAGATAAACTTGCTTTCCTGGTGCTGGTATGTCTCAAAGTTATCCTATTAAGAAAGATCTCTAATACATAGTGATACCATTATGTGATTTTAAGGGAGCAATTTTCCTCCTCAGTACATATCTGCGAGAAAAGACCTCCTCACCTCTTGTAACACCTGCTTTTGTACACTGTCTGAGGTGTGACATCCTCTCCATCGTGACATTTCCTTGAACAACAACCCTTCTGCTAATCAGTGCCACCACAGCACTCAAAGGCAGGCTTTGGCCGTTCACCCATCCCTCTCCAACATTGTGG